TCTAATAATTTATTCCTGTTTTTCTCGTTGCCATGTTCCCACCAATCACATAGCTCCATTTTCTGCCCTTAAAGGAACACACAACCCACAATTCCCCTATTTGCTCCGACGAAACGTCAGCTTTTATAATCGTAACGGTGGCCAATTTACCATTTCAACTTTGTTGATATATTGAAATTATTACTTTATTAAAGACACTCCGATGATAAGGTGATGAGAGTCGATGTATTTCTAGCAACACAAACATCAATGTGTTACTTTACAGAGCTAAACCTTTCCAAACTAAAAACCATATACAACACTAGATAATCACTGACAAACCAAAGGCGTCACCACCCTATCCTTCTGCATACAATAAACCCATGATATCACTGACACGTGAAGGCCTAGCAGAAGAACATCACTGACTCTTTGAAGACATGAAAGACTCCAAAAGCTGTCATTTTTCTATTTATTCTAGCTAACGTTGGCTACTCTTGTAAACTGTGTAAATACTGCAATCAATTGTGTGTATAAATCAGTCAAGAAGCATGCGTGTTCCTGGTCTTAGTTGCAGGCAATTAATAACTGTCAGTGGAGTCGTCAAATTTAGGTAATCAAAGTGATCTCTATAAAACGGACACCTGTCTCATACAGAAACTCAGCTCTGTTCCGTCGGTGTCCATATCAGAAAGGCTCGAATGAACGAATCTCGCAAACTGTGTCACAAAACACATGTTGTTAACTTCCTATTCTTGGGGGGTGGGGGGGGGGGGGAAGAGGTTGTAGGGCTAGATTGGGTTGGGAACTAACCTGCCCCTTACAGTCACCTCCGACAACTCGGACATGGGAATCAAGAGTCTTGGGCACGACTGTTTCCAGTGCTGATTGTGGTACATCTGAACAAACGAACATAAACAATCAAACAAACCTGTTATATTTACATCAGTCTAATGGCTCAGTGCTTCAACTATGATATGGAGTACTCCAGGCTTTACTCATGTCTATGTTAAAAGAAGCCTTTCGAACCCCTTAAATATAAACTGAAGAACGGGAATCTTGACTACTCAGTTCAAAGACAGATCATTATGATTTAGAGAAACTTCACCATGATTTTTGCCTCTGCCACAAGTTAGCCTAAGTTTTTAAGTTCATTATTTGCAATCTGTGTTCATCGTTTCCATCCTTGATAGCTTTTGGTTTACCCTTCCCAGTTTAATATATTTGTCTGTTCCATCAATTAATTATTTCACGATTTCATTCCATCTCGGGGCGAATCTCTGATGCTAGAAAGGGTTGAAAATGTCATGCCATTTGGCTTCCTTACGGCTTTAACGTAACCATTCAAGTCGGCCATGACAAAGTTTATGAACAAATGTTTCCACTCTGACTAAGTTTGCAGGTGTACCTTCAATAAGTCTCCCTTGCTCTGTCTGGCAGATACATTCACCCGTACTGACAACATCAACAACTTTCACCTGTAAAATAAAAGCGAACGTCGCATTCGAAAGTTAGAATTTTCTATTTCTATATAATTATATATAAACATCTATTTCTAAAATCAGCGCCTACAACAAGTCCTCCCTCGCAAATAATTCTCAATCACAAGAAAAACCATGCAATTGTAGAGACAAGCACTCTTGTCCGCTAGGTGGCAATTGCCTAATCCAAAATCCCGGGGGGGGGGTACTCCCTTATGAGGGCTTAATGGGGACGTGCGGCCAGCCAGGGTATGTTTTTGCGAGATTTTTGTCTTAAATAGGGTATCGAATTTATCATTTTTTGTCTCAATCAGGGTATCGATTTTTCAGTTTTTGTCCTAAACAGGATATCTTTTCTTGGAAGATAAACAGAAAAATTTTTACAAGCTCTAATTTTAATTAATATTGAATTCCGTTGATTTTGGCATTGATACCAGGCACATTAAATGTCTTAAACAGGGTATCAAAAATCGGAATTCTGTCTTAAACAGGGTAGGAAAATCAGCGATATTTGTCTTAAACAGGGTCAGGGTATGAGGGGCCGCGCCGCACCTCCCCACCCAGGAATATATCGAGTACCCCCCGGGGGTTAATGAGATAATTGACCAAATGCATCGGTGCAAACACATTAATGGCTTAGAAATGGCTTTCACAAACTCCCAATAT